TGAGCGAAAATATCGTATCTCCTAATGAAATCATTGTTACAAGTAAGATAACACAGGATGGGATTATTAATCCAAAAGATGGGTATGAGAAAGAAAGATGACATATCTTTCAATTACTATCTAGTCTGCTTTAAATTGTGGACAGATATTTTGCTATATAATGGGAATCTTAAAACAGAGGGAGACATCCAAGCAGCCAGAAGGAGATAGTTAAGCTTAAAATTTTTAACAGTACAGAGATAAGTAAGAAGCCTTTTCGAAAAAAATTTTGTTATTATTAGAATCGGCAAAGAACTCCTAGTTTACTCAACACACAAATTCAGTGTGAAAGGTCAAAGTTGGGCAAAATATCCTTGCTTTAGTATTTTCCAGCATCTACATGTGTCATTACTTTGTAAAATGTCTTATTAAAAAAACACTTATCAGACTAGTAAATACGTGCTCGTAAATTTTCTTGTTCCCGCCACTGAGAATGCTCAGAAACAAGTTTTCAGATCTTCTGACAGTTAATATGCTATCTAATTAACTGTCTTTGCCCACAAGTAGTTCTTAGTAACTGAAAATCCTGATGCATTTTGTGTTCCTTTATTAAATTTTGTTCTTGAATTCTCCTATTTGTCACCTTTCGATTTCCACGATAGGTAATGTACGTGTATGTTTGTTTTATCCATGCCTGAAGTGTGAAACCCAACCAGTGGTTTTAATTATCTTGTACGTTCGATTTTATTGAGTGAGTTATAAGGAATGTTGAACTTTTACTCTTGATGTATTTAACAAAGTTTTCATTGAAAAATATGAAGATCATATACTACAGAACATTATAAGCTAAATTCCAGTGTAGTGTTGTCCTTCAAGTTATGGAAGTGAGACAGTCAATATTAGAAACAGCGTGTTATTTATTAGAATTGGATAATAATTAACTACTTGTATTAAACTGTTTAAACAAGGAAAGATAGATTTGATTTTATACAGTTTATCATAAAAAAAATTTAGTTTGTAACAGATTTATACAAAAATGTTATGTATAATATTTTGTAAATTTTAAGACTTGTGTTTCTGTATAAGATCTTTTAACTGTATTTTATATGACTACAAATTAATTGAAGTTTATGTCTTAAGACACAGATCATTCCTTTTGATTTTTTTCTGTTACTCTGAGATGACCATTGTATGATTGGCTGAGCTTGAAACTTGGCTTTGTGAACAAGCTTGCTTTAATGAAAGATATTTTGTTAATATTTCAAAACTTTGGTGTGACCCAAGTCTGTAAGTTTACACTTTGTGTTTCACATCTTTTACAGCCTCTTGTCTTGCACTGAACAAAATTTCTTTGATATTTTTGTTATATGTCAATGGTGTAACAAATTGGTATACTAAACATTTCCATCAGCTGGTTCTAGTCATCAAAAATGAGGATTTTTAGATTCAGAAAGTCTCACAAAACTGTATGTTAAAAGCTGCTACATGTGTAAGATTTGAACTAGCCAGCTAAATCTGTATCTTTTAACATTCCTGATGGTTTAGATTTTCCAATTTCATGTTCATGAGAAAAACAACAAAACCCTGATTGATTAAACATTTAAAAAGTTCAGTTTCAAAATATGAGACTTCTGAGTTGTACAAATGTTGTACTCTCCTCAGTGAGTTTTTTTTTTTTTTTATGTAACTCAACTTTGATGCTCAAGTCTCTTATTCCTGTGTTTATGTAAAGAATTTCAGCTGGATGTTCTAGCAACCAATAAGTGGGTAATAAAACTGGCTTAGCGAAATGTTTAACAAGATAGTGGCAAAACGATTAAATTATCACATTCTTTTTCAATCTAGCCAGTAAGCAAAAACGTTTTAATGGTTATAAAATACAGTTTTGGAGTCCAAAAATAATTTATGTTTTTATGTATACAAATAAATCTTTCTACCCTATTATTTAAAAAAAAAGGTATTTTTTGAAATGAGAAAGATTTTGATTGTCCTTTTATTTTGTGTGTATGTATTGTGTAACAAAGAGCATAGGATACAAAGCAGTATCTTTTAAGATTTTTTATGGGAGAAAAAAAAAGACTGCCTTATTTCAGAGCATGAAAGTTATCGAGAATATTGTAAGTTATTGAGGCAGTTTTTGATGTGTTTCTAATAACCTTGTATGTGCATCGCTGTAAGACCATGTGTTCCAGCTTAGCTCCAACTTAAGTATGACAGTAAAATATGGACAAAAAAAGGTGAAAGGGGAGTGTAGAATAAGATGGTTAAAGAATCTTAGTATGAATGTTGGATTTTCCTGGCAAATAGCCACACCACCAAAGGAAAACTTATTTCCATACATAAGTACCGAATGTGTGGTGAGTTTTTTCCCCTTAGTTTTCGATTGCCAGTTGTTCATCAAGACAAGGAAGAATGTGCTAGCTTGAAACTTACTTGAAATTTTTTCTAAGGGAAGCTTTTACTGTTACATCCGTAGAAAAAACTTCTCCGTAATGACAAAATAAAACACCTAGGTTGAACTTGAGAGTTGAAGAGTACCAAGTGTAAGTCATGAAGTTTTTTTCTAGAAGCTATCAGTAAATATGTGCAAGAAGGAGAAATCAGATAATCTTCAACTAATTTAAAAAGTCTTGCAAGAAGAAGTGCTTGGAGAATTCTGTACTGAAAACTCATAAAAAGTTCATTTCCAATAATTTATAGAAGTTTGTTTACAGAATTTAAATGAGGATTGTTGTCTTGATTTGAGTTTCTCGGAGATTCATCAGCACCAAAAAATTAATGAACATGAATTAAATGAACAGAAAAATATAAATGAAAGGAGGGAAGTTTTTGTACAGCTGTTGAATAATAACACCAAACATTAAGGGAATTTAAAGCTTGAAAACAGTGCCTAAGGGCTGCCAATTAGCAAGCCCTCACTTCTCCTTCCACTGGAAAAAAACAAAACAATTAAACAATGGTGACTTTGATTTTTTTCATGCAGAAATGTGAAAAACCAACCAATAAAATTTATTATTTGAAACAACTTTCATTGCAGTCTCTCTTTCTCTTCCTAATTTGTGTCAAAATAAATCTCCTATTCTTTATTAGGAGGGCACTTCAAGTAACCCTGCCATCATCTTTTGCACTTGTATGCAGCTCTTACTCATCTAAACTGTTTAATAAGCTCATAATTTTCTCATGTACAGTGTTCAAAAGCCAGTTTCTAAAGGAATTGCACAAAGAAGCTGTGTGTATTAGCATAATTGGTACAAATAATCTATCAAATCTGAGGCACGGGTGACCAGAATTATTGAGAACAATAATTAAAAGAATGTAACGTTCACAACTATGAAAAATAAGTTATATGTTGTGTACAATCATATTATAACAGCTTCATAAAAAAAACAAATTCTAATGATAATTTTGATTTGTTTCTTTGCACTGTTTCTAAATTCACCTCTCCCAGGTACTTTGGCAATATGCCCTGCCTGGCTCATGATGCTTGTCTACAGAAAAGTCCAATTGATTTATACACATCATGTAAGGATATAAGGTTCATCTGCCCATCACCTGTAGGAAAAAGTGAATGTTATTTTAAAAGCTTTACTTTTATTAATCTTTGGGCAACTCCTTTATGTACAAGCCTAGTAGTCCTACAACAGTCTGTAGTTCCTTAGATTCCTCACCCAAATTTACTGATAAAAATTATCGTTCTGTTTATTTTTGTGACCTTTAGAAAGATATACAATATCAATAAGTCCAATATCTTTAGAGTTGTAAGTATGAAGAAAGCTAATGATAAGAATTGTTTCTGTGGGAATGACAGTTTAGTAAAAAGTTTTGTTAACATTAATTTCCTGGTGTTCAGTGGCATTCTTGTGTTGATTACAGGTGTTCATAATAAAAAATAAAGAATCTTGAAGAATGAATCTATGTTTCAAATGGACAGCAACTGCCTGTTGTAGAAACCTACAAATGTAGAGGACGACGTTTCGAAAGTCTTCCACCTTTCGTCTTCAGGTGGAAGACTTTCGAAACGTTGTCCTTTACATTTGTAGGTTTCTACAACAGGCAGTTGAAACTTAGATTCATTACGAATACTCTGCCTAAACAACCCATCAAAGATAATCTTCTTGTAGTACGACTTAATGTAATTATTATCTTTATCATAGGTAAGGAATTCACCAATAAATATATACATTTCCTATAGATATTTTAACATGCATGTTATTGGCCAACTTACACCTACAATGGCTGAACTTCAGGATGTAAAAATAAGTTATTATGCATACACAATAATTTCTCTTCCTTTAATCATTGTAAGAAACTTCTGATTTGGAAGTTCTAATTCTGTTTAAGGAGAAAAAAAAATTAATAGTTTGTCATTAAACTATGCATTAGTTTGAAGTGAAAGTTAAAGGCATATTACAATTAGTTAAATAATTACATGACTAGAGGATAAAGAAAAAAGTATTTTTCTTTCACTTTTGTGTAAGATGCTATTTATATGCCATTTTACTGTCCTATATATTTATTTACAAGGACGTGAAACAAGTTTTGAGTTACTTAATGTGTTCAAAAGTCAGTTACGTGTGACATCCTCTATTGCTGCAAAAAATAAAATATGAAGGAAGATTTAAGAAATATGAATTATGGTAAAAGTAAATACAAAACATCAATTCAATTATTAAAACATGTTCCATAAGTATTTTTTAAAAATTGCATGTGATTCAAGTGCCCTCTTGTGACTAATGAATTAATTAAATAATTTTTTTGATATTTCTTTAAATGGTTTTCTAATGATAATTAATTTTTTAAGTCTTAAATTCAACTATATTGTTGCTAATACCTTTACGGTGGGAAATCAAATCAGTGTGATTTCTTAACCATATCTGAACATAATTACTGATTGTGATTCTAACCTCATCTCTAAACAATGGATGAATAGTTTCAAACTTTTAAACAATAGCCAGGTTAAAGCACTATGCCAATTAAAATCAGAAAAAAAAATTACAAGTATATTACTTTTATTTCTGTATACCAAATCCTCTATCAAAAATATAAAAAAAACTTATATTAAGGCAATGTAATATCAAACTATTTACACATGCACAATAACATAATGAAAAAAAAATTCTTTCAAAAGTCGTGTATTTTGTGGATATCAAACGCATGATTCAATATTTTCAACCTATGATTTACAATTCTTCTGTAAGAAAGTACAAAACAGTTAATACTTCTTATCTTAAGGAAATGACTACAGTATACAATTGTACAATATGCTGGTTATTATATAAAACTAACATTTTTGAATAGGGACATTAGTATTATAAGAGAAGAAGATGGCTTTAGTAAAAACCCATAGAAAAGTTAGTAGATTCTGGGGTTGAGAAAGTTATATTTCACTTGAGATTGTACAAGGCACTATTCTAGGACCTGACATGCAAGACATTTTTTCTGGATTGATATAATGACAAACTAGGACAATATGTTAACACAACTTTTTTTGGGTTGATGCACTGAAAGACTGGGACTCAACATGTTAACATTTTTACTAATGCATTGAGAGACCAAGAGTCAATACCTTAAAATTTTTTCAGGGTTGGCAATTGACATATTGAGAAAGTAGGACAATATGTTAACACGTGACACCTTTTGTGGGTTGATGTACTGAGACACAACATGTTAATACAATTTTTTTTTCCAGGTTGCTATGTTCAGATACTAAGACCCTGAGAGTCTGCACCTCTTTATGAGCAAAAAACCACATAGAAAGGAATATGTGGCTGCCATAGCTCCAAGAGCAAAGAACCTAGAAACCTGAAATTGTGCATCCATACTAACTGGACCCTGAGGGTGTGCACCTAGGTATTACTTATCCGTGTGCATGCTCATCTTTTTAATGAGGCAAGCTAGCTGCATGTCTTGTGTTAATGGTTAGAGAGTGTTTGTCAGTTTTTAACCAAAGAGCTTTTGAATATCTAAGAGGTATTATAGCTTCGTTTTGAGTTTACATACTGATTAACTATATTACAAGTTCCAGCTGTTATAGTAAAATTTGTTTTCACAACAGTTGTGTACTTAAGAATGTTCACACCAGCAATCAAAATGTCATACCCATTCTAAAAACAAATCTTACTTACTGTAAAATCTGTAACTTGTAATATAATATGACAGGTATTACGTGTTTATATACTGAACTGTATAAGTGAAGGTATCAATACTATCTATTAGTGGACTGATGTGGTTTTCACACAGGGCTGATTTACATATCCGTGTAAACTACAATGTGCAATTCTGTACAAGCATTATACTCACAAATCTAGTGTTATGACCATTATACAAGTCTAATTCAAAAAGTTAATTGTTACCACACCTAGCTTGGTTCAAGGTGATCTTTAAGTTACCATTGTTAATTCTATGTTTTCCAACATATTTAAACACGCTAACTCAACTTTAACAAAGTGTTTTAGTGCACATACTACACTATTCCTTGGATGAAGCAGACACTTGTATTTAAGGAAATGTTAATTACAGAGAAATACACATGTATATATAAATATGGCCAAGCAACGTTTTGACCTTCTACTTAGGTCATCATCACGCAATAATGATAATTTGACACATTAGAGAATACAAGATTAAAATAATGTTCTAGTTGTGTGAAGCGAGAACAACAATAAAAGTAACCAACAGTATTATTTTCTCTTGCCTGATGATGACTTAAGTGGAAGGTTGAAACGCTGCATGGCCATATATATATATGTGTGTGTGTATTCCTCAAGTTAGAAACAATGAAGTACAATGTTTTTTTGCGATTACGTAATTCCTTTATGAAGGTATTTTGTTACTAAAAAATTCACAACCATGTATTGATTGCAATGTACAATCCTACACACAAAAATGTAATAATCACAACCGAAAGTAACAAAAGCTATTTTTTAGCTATGACTAGACCATCAAGGTGCATTAAAATGTGAGATTGAAAAGGAAAATTCCTACTGGTAATTAGTGCTTTTCTTAAACTTAGTATTTTATTATGATGTTTTCTCATGTACTAGCCTTCATATATTCTGGGCACTAGTATTATGGATGCCAGTAACTTATTCATCTATTTTAACGAGTCACATTTAGTATAATAAACTCACATTCAACATGGAGGTAGGTAAGTACATACGATGAGAGCTACTGGCCAGGACAATGCTACACGTTCTTGAAGATGTGATTGTAATAAGGAAAACCTTGTTGGATAATACAGTATAACTTTAACTTAGAATGAAGTACCTTAAATCAAAGGAATAGCATGTACTTCTAGTAAGCCTGAATTTTTTACCCTAAAATTTTACTTTATAATGCATGTTTTCAAAGATCTTACCAGTCACATTATTAGCATGTAAAATCATCAGTTTTTTTCAGATGAGACCCTTTTTTTTTTAATGGATGCATACTATGTGAGTAATTTGGTGTTGCTGTAGCTATTTAGTCTTAATTAACCATATTTACAAAAAAGAAAGCAAATTTTTAAATCCAAACAGCAGCAAAATCTAAAGTTTATCTATTTTTGTAAAAGGAATTGTTCTAAGAAGTAACCTATAAATTAATGAAAGCAGTTTTCTATATAACAAACTGACAAGATGTACGTAACGTCATAAATCAATATACACAAGAAATCTAAAATCTATAAAATCAATTGATATACTGAAAACTACTCAATTTTTGGTTAGGTAACACCTTATTTAACAAACTTACATACAGAAACAATGGACAAAATGTTGATGATTCTAACTTTATGACGATCACAAGCACCAAAGGTGAAGTCTGTAAGCTATTATAGCAAAGTTCACAATTACCAATTCTTCTTACCTGTGCTACAGAATCATGTATTTCTTGGATTTCCATTTTCAACCTCTTCTAAATAACAAAACCTAAACCACTGTTTGGAGTATTATTTCATTGTAGTGACTCAATACAACCTCTTAATGTATATTTTTGACATTTTTTAGAATGTGTTACACTACACATTTTAGTATCCTACTCTGGTGCCTTGATGAGACCTGACTGAAGAGTACTTTAATGAAGGACTCTTTTCTAAACTATAATGAGGAGTTAGTTGCCTGTCCAAGTAGCCAATATTTTGCACAGTCCATCGTTCAGAGGCTTCATACACATTTGGCTGAACAGTACTGTGATGGTGGTGATCATAATTGGATGGAGAAGGCTTTGTTGCCCGAGAAACTTGTGCTGGAATACAAGTACTATGAAAACTTGTGTTGGTGGGCAAAAATTTTGGTTGCATTTCACCAATCCTACAGTATGCAGAAGCACTCCTGTCCCTTCTGAAATTGGAAGTTGGACTTGCAAGTTGTCTCGGTGGCTCAGTGTGATGCCTTAGGTGCAAAGACTGCAATTGTTGATGGCCTTTGGAATGGAATTGTTGATAGTCTTTGGATTGTAATTGTTGCTCTTGTTGGAGCTGGTTTTGCACTTCTTTGTGACTGTTGTAATGATTGACCATTACAGGGTCCAATTGAGTATAAATTCTGAAAAGTGAAATATTGAACCCTTGTGAAAAACAAGTATTCACTGTATATAAATTAACAAAATAGATACAGATAACGTTTTAATGGGAACTAAGATTAAAGAGTAATAAACATTCACACTTCCTTACTAGGCTTAAGTAAGATTGGTTACAAAATACCTAAAATGACTGTAATATTGGGCCAAAGAGTATTTTTGAAAATGAAAATTTTTGAAACCACTTTTTAACTGTTTAATAAGTTATGAAATATTCTATAAAAGCTGTGTCATTAGAAGCTAACATGAATTAACTAATCACCTCTAATATTAAAAATAATAGATACCGAACTGTTATAAATACATCATCAATATACATTTAAAAACTTCAGAAAATTATATTCCTTGCACTTATGTAAAAAAACAAATTAACAAACTTTTGCCATCCAAACTTCTTTACAAATATGAAAATTTATTTTTAGAGCTCACATAAATATACATATTTAAAGGGTTATTAGAAATAATAATTATAACTAACCATTAACTTTTAGGAATCTGAGTTTTAATTAATAATTAGTGCTAATTAAATATATAATTATATAGAAAATGTAATGAGAGCAATTTGCAATAGAAATGTCTTTTGAAACATTAAGTAAAGTTTTGTAATTCTGAAAATAAAAACAATTTTTGGCAAGTATTTTTAAACACTTTATCAATTTTTCTCCAAACACATTTGTAATGGCATTCACTCTACTAATAATTATATTATAAACTGTTAAAGTTCAACCTGTATACCATAATTACACAATGAATAATCAAACCATCATATACAGTAATTACTGAAGCTAAGTTCACCAATCAAGACTAACAGAGTTCAAATTAAGAATTCATCATTTCTCTGCTAATAAGGCCATTTCTTGGTTGGAATATGGTCTTGTGTTTTGAGTTTAACACTCAATACTACCTTAAAAATAAATTAGTTAAGTAATGTTATGAAATTATGACAAGAACAAAAAAAAAGCATCTTATACTAACCACCAAAAGAATTAGAGAGAAGTGCAGTCCATGATAAAATAAAATATCTCAAGGGGAAAAATACAAGGCAACTAAAATACATACCAAAAAATTGATTTTAACAGTTCTCAAGCAAAGTATTTCAGAACTTATAAAACCATATGATTGAAAATTTGGCTTACGTGTCTTCTGTGGATGTTTCCAACCAACACGACCTGTTGTGGAGCACGTCAGTTGCGTCCCTCTGAAAAGTCATAGTTATTTTCTTTTATCTTAAAAAAACGAGTGTTTTCAGTAGAAAAATGATAATCAGGCAGTGTTTTTAACATGTTGAGTGAGTTCTCTGTGAATATCTTGTGCCATTTTTGTTTGGTTTTGAGATAAGATGATGTTATTGAGCTTCATGCAGAGTCCTTCTCAATGAAACCCAGAAAAACAACAGGAGAAATCCACAGAAAGATAGCAATTAGGCAGTGTGTTCATCATGTCAACTGAGTTCTCTGTGGGCATCTCCCGCTGTGGTAATTAAAGTTTCTACGTATATAAATATCGCATTAAATTTACCAGTTGTTATAAAAAACGAACCTAAAACATGGAGAGTTACACTAGAGTTCCACTTTTCTTTTATCTAAAACTACTTGATGTTTGTTAGTTGGAATGCTTTTCCTAAAAATATCTAAATGACATTCTACACACCTTAGTATTACGGTAAATAGCAGCCTGTGAAGCTATTACTGTGTTGAAATATGATGAAAAAATTCAGAGGCATTGCTAGGCACTGGCACATGGGCCCATTACCTGATTCTATTTGACAGTGGCCCTGAATTTCCAGTTGGTGTCTTTAAAAATCAAAATAGAAAACCATGATTGATATCATTCTGAAACGTCACAAATTCCTGTGAGTTCTGGAACTCAGCGGAAAAACATCAAAAGTAGCAGCCTTCAGTACAAGAAACGGCAAAGGTGGAGCCTTACTCTTCTTGTGCAAAAAGGAGAGTCATCACTGGTAAAACCAGGCTTTTATGTCATCAAGTTGCATTTCTGCGGTGTGTAGAAAAAGACTGTAACTTAGAAGAACAACCTGGAAACGTGACGAAAGTTCTTTGATTTTATGTAAAGACGAATTTCAACTGTTCAAGAGGTCTTCTTGTTGAACAAAACATTTGTCATTTAACTATGTATATCTGTGTGCTTTATTTTACAATCTCACGAATACGAACAATCAAATATTCGTGCAATTCATACGCATCATTGGTTAAAGCGGTTTTGTGTTGTCAATGTCAACCTGGGTTGAAGTGATGAATTTTTGTCTCTGCAAAGTGCATTTCATCACCATGATTTTGAAGTGCTTATGTGAAAGGTACTGTTTAATTCTGTGTTTTATGAACAATTGATGTGGTATTTCTTGCAATTTATTTCTAGCTAAACCTTTTTATGAATCTCGTATTTGTTTTGTACAACTTCATTATTTGATATGAATCTATAAGCTCATTTTAAGTGTGAAATTTTGAGTTAGGGAGCTTAGTATTTTGAAGGTATTTTGGCAAGCCTTCTTATTGGTTGATAATTGTTGGTTGGTTAATAACAGGATTAGTGCATAGTGTTGGCAAATTAATAAATTAGTGTTGATAAAATAAGTGTTGGTAAAACTAGTTGAGGACAAAATTATTCTATCCTTGTTTAGATCAGGTGCTTTCTAAACTTGACCACTGGTTCTCTAGCATTAAAACAGACCTAATGATGGGAATTCAGGCATGCAGTCTGCTCTCACGAAACTTTCTCTCTGTAGAGGACTTAACCACACACGATAAACACTACAAAACAGAACTAAGACCCAAAGAATTACTCATTGCTAAACATTATTTAGCCCATAAACACAAGAATGGCCAAAATCTCAACATGGAAGATGCATATCCAGTGTTCAGACCACCTCATGTTTTCAACCCTAAAAAAAAGTGGTACACGTTGCAATAACTATCTCAGTGAGTAGCTGTAGCTGTGAAAGATCATTCACTGTTCTTGAGAAGTTAAATGGGACAAGCTAGACTAAGGCACCTTGCACTGCTTTCAACTGAAAAAAATGTGCCAAAATCTATGACCGAGGATGCCGTCATTGACCGCTTTGTTAAAAGACAAAATATTACGTATACACTGATGCTTCTCGATTAATTTTTTGGCAAACATTTTATATTATTATATAAATATGAAAGAAAGTTTAATAATTAAAACCACGATGTCTAATTATGGGTTTTTACAGGATCATTTTTGGATTTGTAAATTTAAAGATACTATGTGACTGTTTAAATTCACTTAACATACTGAATTGTTTAAATTCGGTGACGAGGAACCCACTTTGAGACTAATAATAGCTGGAGACAGCTTGAATGGGTAATGAAGAAAAACTTTATAAGTTTAACATAACAGCAAATGTACAAGTAATTTACACTGAGACAGATATACAGTATTGAACAAAGAAGTCACATGACCGGAACTGTTGGGAAACTTAGAAGAGGTATCTAGGCACCCCGGGGTGTTGGTTTAGAGTAGGGTTGTTTTGTTCAATTAAGACGGATTCCTTGATTTTTCATTTGTTTATGTTGGGTTCTTTGTTTAAAATGACTGTGTTTTTAAATCAAGGAATCCGTCTGTATATATATATATCTGTGTCAGTGTAAATTACTTGTACCTGATGATGACAAAACATTGTCCAAACGTTGTACATTTGCTGTTATGTTAAACTTATATTAAAGTTTTTCTTCATTACCCATTCAAGCCGTCTCCAACCATTATTATACTGAATTGTTTGTTTCCTCTTACCGGTGTAGTTCAATACATCATTCGTATCTCTTTGTATTTTGTGTTCTGCAAAATGTTGAAATACCTAATTACTCTTGGGGAGGGGACATGGGCCCAAGCCATGCATCTTTGAAGTAACTAACGACACCTGTGACAAAATTAGAATGAAAATTAAAAATGTTTTTGTTTTGCGTGTGTATATGTATGTATGTATATATATCCATATCTTCATGACACTACAAAATAAGGTAATATAAAACAAGTTATGGCTTTAATTAATCTATAAGCATATTTATCTGAAAAGTGTATAACATTTAGCCTTATATACTTGACATTTGAAACCGTTGGTACTTGGTGAAACTCCATAATTACAGAATTGAGGAAAAACAAGACAATTGTACGTTTCAAATATGTCGTTTATTATAACCATGGTTTTGCCAGTAAAGACATCATCATCACCTGATGATGCCTTTACTGGCAAAACCATTCCTCAATTGTGCAACAAACATCAGTTTTATTAGCATCCTTAAGCAGTGTACCAAATAAAATATAACGTTTGAAATAAATTCTGTTATATTTAACAATATAAGTGCTTTTAAAGTCGTTATGAGCTACAAAAATTAGACAGTGAAAAAAAATTTCAACACAGGATACCTGTTCACTAAAAGCTGACTTGACATTAGGGAAGCGAAGGCTCTGTGCACGTTGAATCAATGCTGGATGGGAATGGTGGGATGTAAACACCTGCAAACATATAAGGTGCAAATGGTGCAAATTAAAGATTTAAAAGAGTGCAAGCACAAAATGCAATTTTATTAAAACTTTTTTATGTTGACCCCAATGTAATGAAATAACACCATCACAGTATACCATGGCACACCCATTGTTTCAAGGGGGTAAAAAATTTTCTTGATCAGCTAATTCAGAGTAATTCTACACTACTTTCTTTACTCTTACAACTATAACACTACTTATCAATAACATTTATATGCTATGGACCTATCATCACGTAGACAAGCTAAGCATAAGTCCTCATGAGAAGTAAACCAAGATAATTAAGGTTTAATACTGAAGTATATACTTACAAATAGATTAAAGATATAAATCATGGGATGATTATATATATATTAACTAAATAATATATCAGGTGAGTCCTGAAAGACTTTGCTTTATTTTAAGACCAGCAGAATGTATTATGATGAGGATGACAGTTGTGTAAGTTTTCACACAGATGTATTCAAGAAGTAAAGCCAACATTTAATGGTACACAGTAAATATTTTAAAATAAGACTGTCCCCAGTCTCAAAATACAATTATTCTAAATAACAATTTTACTGAATAAAGATAAAATACTGTGAAACTGGGAACAGTCTCATTTTTAAATATTTATTGTGTATTATTAAATGTTAGCTTTATTTCTTTAATACATCAGCAGAATGTATATTAATGATACTGATTAGTACAAAAAAGTTTGATACTTTAAGAAAACAACATAATTGCTATAGCATCAAATCATCAATGAATCCAGTCTACTCACCAAGTGGTAACAAATTCAATAGATAAAAATTAATATACATTTAATAAAGGAACTGACAATTGCGTTTTTAATCCACCAAATAACATATATCAATGATTTGCTTAGAAAGAATTATTTAACTAAAATAATATGTGGAACCATAAATAATACTTAACGTTATACTAGTACACTAAGTTAAAAACATTTTATTAGGTCCTTCTACTATAGTACGTAGGG